ATTTGTTTTAGGATATTATCAGAAAATATTTTTATTCAAGCCACTCTAAATTAAAAATAAGTTCTTGTTCTAATTTGCATCTCATTTGATTATTAGTGAGGTTAATTATCCATTGACCTTTGTATTTTATGTTTTATCCAGTTTTCCTTTAGATGATTTGTCTCCTCGTTGGTCTGTACAATCTCTGTATACATTCTGGATATCAACTCCATGTTTATTATATATCGTGCAAATATTTTCTCTCTAGTTTTTGAAAGATTAATTATATATGTTTCTTTTTTTTTCTTTTTTTGGAGAGGTTTTCGTTATAGGGCACGTGTGCTTGCCAGAAAGGCAGAGAGAGACAGACAGAAAGCAAGAAATCACCCCCCAGGGGGGATGGTCACACCACAATTCCTTCTCCTCCATTCTCCTCTCGGGATCTTGGCACGCACGCACACTTACCTGGCGTGAGTTTAAGCCACTGGGTCGGGGACTCAAACTGCAATCGACTACATGGGAGTCCAGTGACATAAGCCATTACACTAACTGCTGGTCCCAATTATATATGTTTCGTTGAATAGGTACAGAAATTTTCCTTTGTAAATGGTCACGTGTAGCTTCTGGTTTTTATGTTTTGGCTAGAAAATTCTTCCCTGTGCCAAGATTATCAAAATATCTTCTTACATTTTCACCTACTAAATTTATGTGGTTTTGGTGTGGAGAGTCATGTTTTCTTTTTTGTTTTTTGATTTTTTTTTGCATTTAGATCTGTTATCTCCTTGGAATTTTAATACCTAGTATGAGGTAGAAATTCAACTTTTCTTTCCAAATAGATAGCCCCTTGTTCAAACTCCCATTTATTGGGCAAATAATATTCATTACTTCCCCCTATTCATTTAGGATACTTCTTTTATCATATATAATACTGCCTTATAACCATAATATCAGTTTTCTAGAGCTGATGCCATAACATATTGCCATAAATCTGAGTAGCTTAAAACAACAGAAATTGATTCACTCACAGTTTTGAAAATTCTAAGTCCAAAATCAAGGTTTCAAAAGGACCGTGTTCTCTCTGACACCTCTGGAGGAGGATCCTCCCTTTTCCATTCCAGTTTTTGGTATTTGCCTTCAATCCTTGCCATTCCTTGGTATGTAGACATGTCACTCCAATCTCTACCTCAGTCATTACATGGTGTTCTCCCTGTCTCTGTGTTCATATTTTCCTCTTCTCGTAAGGACCCTGGTCATTGAATTAGAGCCTATCCTACTCCTGTATCACCTAGTCTTAATTTAATTTTATCTACAAAAACCCTACTTTCAAATAAGGACATATTCACAGGTACAAGCAATTAGAGCTTAAATATATCTTTTTGGAGGACACAAATCAGCCACAGTCCCCCTGAAGGTATCGACTTTACATACTTTTTCAATTACTGCACTTTTATTGCATATTTTTAGATGTGACAAGGCAAGCCTTCCCACCTTTTTACTTTTCAAAATTGTAGTCTTATATATTTAATCTTCCAGTTGAACTTTACAAATAGTTTATCAGATACTTTCAAAAATTATTGGAATTTTTATTAAAATTGCATTAAATTTACAGATTAACATTATAAAATATTATAGTAATACAGAGTCTTCCTAGCTAGGTACTAAAATTTAAAAATATTTTTTAATATCCTTTATCAAAAAATTTATGATCGGGCTAGCTCCATGGTGCAGCAGTTGAACAGGAATGTGTTATGCCAGAGAAGCCAGATCCCGTGTGGTAACTCAGCCCAGTCTACTAGAGACATGCCATGCACTTGCGTGAGTGCCCATTATCTGAAGGGCTGGAGGACTAGAGGAAGAGGATCATAGCATGGACCCTGTGGAGGATGCTCCTGTCTCTCATGCATGTGCTCTGTTATTTATCAACTATAAAAATGTTAGGGTTTCTTATATATAGTTCTTGTAGCACCTCTTATTAAGGTAATCATGAGTAATTTATCGTTTTTCATATAAGTGGGATTTTTTTCTGCTATGTCTTCAATGTGGCTATTGTTTGCGAGAAGTGAGTTAATTTATTTTTGTATGCTTTTTAGCATCTTGGGAAAGTTAACTTTTCAGAACTCAAACATGTTCTCATGACCATATGTCCGTTATAAAAGGGTGAAATCATTTTATTGTTCTGCTTATAAATCTCAAAAGTTTTTTCTTTTCAAGTTTATTTCTTCCATGAGAGAGAGTAACAGGCAGGCAGGCAAGCAGGCGTGTCCCCAGTAGGATCCTGGAAACCGTAGCTGACTAAACCTATTCCTTTATCAATCACTAAGACTTGGGTATTTCTGGGAACCAGCAGTTAGCGTAATGGCTATGTCGCTGGACTCCCACGTAGTCGACCGCGGTTCGTGTCCCGGACCCGGTGGCTTAAAACTCACGCCGGGCGCGTGTGCGTGCGTGCCCAGGATCCCGAGAGGAGAATGGAGGAGAAGGGATTGCGGCGTGACCATCCCCCCTGGGGGGTGATTTCTCACTTTCTGTCTCTATGTCTCTCTCTGTCTGTCTGGCGAGCGCACGCGCCCTACAGTGAAAATCTCTCCCAAAAAAAAAAAAAAAAAAAAAGACTTGGGTATTTCTGTTAGCAGCACAAAAACAAAGATGCTAATATTTATTCTTTCTTTCATGTTACTGAATCCAAAAGATTGTCAAACATTTTTTAGTCTTACAATTTTTAGATCATATTTGTCTTTAAATATACAATTATAAGTTTTCCTTTTGTAAACTACTAAAAATTTCCATAGTGGAGATTGAAAGCCAGACTCATAGCCTAATGGTTAAGGGAGCCAGATCCACATGGCAAACTGCAGTCAAATCATGGCTGTAAAAACAGCTCTGGCTCATGTGCATGCATGCCCTAAATCCCAGGAGCATAGAGAAATAAAGAGGTGCTTTCTTCCATTGGGGAGTGCTTTCTCCTCCTTTCTTTTTCTTTGTCTTGCTCTAGTGAGCACACAAGCCCTCTGGCAATTAGAAAAATAAAAAAGAACAACCCCATTGTGAAAGTAGAAATGTTGTATTAGTTACCTGTTTAAGGCAATTAATAAACAAGGAACAGCCATAGTGAAAGTTGAAATGTTTTATTAGTTACCTGTTTGATGCTTTACAATTACCTAAACATAGTGGCTTAATGCTACCTACATTTATTATCTCAGTTTCTATGGGCCAGCGATCTGGGCGTAGTTTTTAGCTAGATCCTTTGGTTCAGAGACTCTCACAGACTACAGTCAAGCTGTTGGCCAGGTGTAGGGTCTCATCTGAAGCTTGAGAAAAGATCTTCTTCTAAGCTCACATGGTTGTTAGCCCAGATTCCTGACCTCCAAAACTATAAGTCAATAAATGTGTACATGGAGCTTGTTAACTAGTAGACTTATATGTTAATTGACCTCTTTGTCATGAGCTAGAATATAGAGGGTGATGATGAGCTAGTTTTGACCAGTATAAAACAGTAGAGAAGATGAAGAATTACAAGGGAAAAGAAACCTAGGTCCCTTAACAATGGTCTAGTGACACTTCTTCACCCTAAACTCTCCTCTTAACTATGGCCTATACTGTGAGGAAAAAAAAAAGAAAACAACAACAACAAAAAATGGCTCTTAACCTTATTTCAGTCATTGCATTTTGGTGTCT